TCTTACTCCGAGCGCTTTTTTACCGTTTCATTTTTCTCGCATTTATCATCTGCTATTAATGACAGTTCAATAGGGTCGATAGACTAATGTGCAACTTTCTCATTTGTTGATTAGAATTTCAGTTCGAATTCTTCCTGAAAACAGTCCATCCAACAATATGCTTGCTGAGATATTACACAAAACGTCTTAAAATGGAGCGAATATTGAATTGAAAAAATGCAATAAAATCACTATGCCACTAACGATCCGATTTTGGCGAGTGATCTCGAAGCAAACAAAAGGTTTCAATGAATATGATTTGTTCAAATACAAGTCGAAGCAAATGTTTTAATGGATTCTCTTTCAGTTACTCCATTAAAAGTAAAGCCAACAATAAACTGAACCAAAGGCAAAGGCAAAATGGAAAGGCTGATAAACTAATATTACAATGTCAAATGTTACAATGTCAAGTCAAATAATAGTGATGAAACCAATAATGAAAATCATTTTGATGTATAACTTCTTCATTAAATTTTGAAAATTCTCACACTTACACAGAATGCTGATCCAGTAAATGATATGAAAACGACAACTGACGAAAATTCTAATTGTTACTAGAGACACTCGTACATTTTTACAAGATTTTCAGGGGCTCAAGGCGGTCTTAAGGTGGTTTTTAGGCAAAGTGCTCAGAAATTCGAAAATAAAAACACCAAGATCGGCATTAATATCTTTTTTTCCAAGTAATTCAACACCATATCATCCCAAATCAAATTGATATGCTTCATGAACTAAAACATTTTCCAGTAGATTTACAGCTAAACAGATGCGTTTCCTTGTTAACACGAGACTTACAGGTTTTAAAAGTTTTGTGTTCCGTAGGAAGTTAGGTTTAGAAGCTTGAAGCTGAATTGTTGTCATCAAAAAAGAAGCTTGTGGCTTGATTGGCTCTGATTTTTGGCAAAACACTTTATCTTTTTTCATATAACTTTTCGATTAGCTCATCAAAAATGATTGTTCTAAAGATTTTGAACCAATAGGAATTCGTAAACATTTCATTGGGTTGAATGATTTTTTGGCACTTTTCAAGTTTACTGGTTTCAGCCACTTTTGGTAAAAACTTCATTTTCTTGGTTGACAATAAAAAGAATCATCAACTTTAATCAATTTGTTGAGACGGAATTTCAATTTGTTACCTTTTGATTGTTAACTCAAACAATTGAAAAGCCTAAGCAAACAATTATTAGACTCTTGAGGTTTTGTTTTTGCCTTAAAAACAATGCAATAAAAGATTTGAGTCTTGGAAACCAAAATAAGGCTAAACTGAAGTAGACTCGAGAGACACTTGAATATATCCTTTTTTTCAAAACGATTATCATCACTTTTCATTTGCCTTTTATACAATCATCATCATTCTCATCAATGAAGCCAATTCCAGATGAAAATCAAATTCTATTTGTATTTTATTCTCTTCCACTTAATTCTCAATTACCAAATCTCACAAGAATTTTCAGCTAATTTTATATTCCAATTGTTAATTTACTGTATAAACATTTGCTAAAGGCAATACAAATTTCAATACAAAACTCTTTACACAAAATCGAAGAGCTTTTGATAATAAATTACTCAAATTGATTGGGAAAAGAAGAAAAAAAATGATCGCCATTTTCACGATTTCCTTGCTTTTCGAGTTTCCATTGTAATATTTTTAATGACGATAACTGATCGCTAATAAAGTGAAAACTGCAAAAGGAAATAATTCATTTCAAGTTACAAAGTTATAATATCGTTATCATAATGAGATAAAGTTTCACGCAAATTTCGTTGAGTTATCATTTATCAAAGCAGTAGAGAGTGAAAAGAGTTATGATATTAATCTAAATGGGAAAATATTTGTTTCCCTATTTTGTCTTTCTCTCTCTCTTTTCACTTTCACACACACTTTTATTATTATTGTTATTAGTTGCATTATTTTTTTTATTGTTCAATTGTATTATCTGTTGAAAGTTTCATATTAAATTCAGTGGAAATATCATCATTAAAGGTTGACAAATAAAGGAGTGTTTCCAAGATGAAAGGAGAGGAGTAGAAAAAGATAAGATATTAGGTTCAACATTTAGAGGGAAAAGCAAAAAGAGTTGAAATTATTTTATTCAAAGTTGAATGATTTTGAGGCAAACTTTTATTTGTTAAAAGGCTGCAATTGATTTCAACAGCTAATTTACAGCAACTGAAAGTTTCAACTTTCAATATTCATCAATTTCATGAAACACTTAGAGTGAAATTTGAAAAAATCTTTTCAGATAAGTTCCAATGGGAACAGAATAGACGGAACAAAACCTATGGAACACAGAAGGAAACAGAAAGAAATTCAACTCTCAAGTTATAAGAAACGGCATTTTCTTGCTATCAGGTGTGTCATGATTCGAAAGTGGTTTGAGCTACAGAACCAAATATGTCGAAGAATTGCGCGTGAAAGTTCAAGAAATTCAAGAATATAAGAACGATTCAAATTCTTAAAGTACATCGCTATAAGGTTAAAAAGAAGTTTTGTTCAAAGTCGAGAACTCATTGAACGATTTTCTCGTCGCCTTCAACAAAAGGATTAAAACCCGAGATTTCAAAAAGCCTTCAACAAGAGGTTTCAAACCCGAGATTTAAAAATTATTGTTTAGTTTAATTTAATTCAAAATTCATTTCGAAATAAATTTTTTCAATTTATCCATTCATTGTATTGCTCTCACCTTCTTATCACAGTACGGACAGTTGTCCCAGAAGAGGACATTCACGTACTTCCGAGTGTTTTTAAGTCATTTTTCAATAAACTTGATTTTAACTGAAAATTCAATAACGTAATTATTGACTGATTGTACTGTTGACTTTATTTTTAATTCACTGTCACGTAATTTGCCAAAATGTGCGAAATTGTGAGCGAATTTCTGACTTTCTTGGATAATTTTTGCGAGATGAAAAGGTAAAAATTTTGAATAGAGAAAAGTAAAAGTGAAAAATAGTGATTAAATAAATGGACTTGGCCTTTTCATTTAAAACTATTACTTTAACTGATTGTAAATTTAATAAAAGAAATTGATTTGAACAAGAAAATTTCCCCATTTCTCCTCCTACCATAGATTCTGGAAAATGTTTCTCCGAACTTTGCTCAAACTTTTATATCATCTCCTTCAATTGGATAAAAGATGGAAAAAAGGAGGAAAAAAACGAAAAGAAGAAAAAAAACTGAGAAAAAGTTTTACACAAAACAAGTTAATACACACATACTTATAGAGTTTTCACTTCGATCATCATCATCATCTTTTCCCATTTCCTTTCCATTTCTTGACCCAGTAAAGGTTTGATTGTTGAAAATAATCAGCGAAACAAACTAAACATCTTCAAGATCAGGGCCATTTTTCATTGACTGACTGGTTAAAAGCTTTGTTTTTTTCGTCTCTTCCTCATTTCATTGTCTCTCCAAAGTTCCAACATTTTTTTCCTCGAAAATTATTTCTTCCTTTTCTCAACCAACTTAACTCAAACATTTCATTTGCGTCAATCGTCACAACTGATTGAACGACATTTCGCTTGAACCTTTAACCTTTGAGGTTTCACTTTGGTTCAAATTTTTCGTTGAAAGCAATTCATCTTCATCTTTCAATGAGCAAGTTTCTGTCAAAATCAAGTTCAACAATTGATTTCAGGCGAAAATTGACTTTTCAAGAGTAACTTCGAAACTGAAAACCACTTGAATGTTTCTCAGCACGAATATTAATTCCTCAGTGTTCATCACAGCATGATTGATGAATGAATATTATTGAAATTGTTGTAAACTTGTAACTGACTAATGAAAATTTGAAGAAAAGTTCTAATTTCCAATGTTTTTGACATTAATTATTCAACTTTTTTTTGTCACATTTTTCTTTCTTCTCCGTCTTTTCTTTTCCCTGCCTCTCTTATAATGGAATCAAAAGTTATCTAAGATTCTGGTTGAGTTCATTTGTTCGCATTGTTAAACAGCAAACTAGACCTTTTTGGATTGCTTCTTGTTTGCAATTGAAATGATTTGTGGACAAAAAATCAAATGAAATCATACATCATTTGGTAGACATTTGTTCTTGCTTTTTGTTCAAGTCCAAAGAGAATGCAAACTCAATTCAGTTGACAGAATATGAAACAAAGAGAAAAGAAACAATTTTGGGAAAAGTTGAATGAAATTGTTTTACACCATTTTGTTGAAAGCAAAGAGTTGATCAAGAAATGAAAAATGAATTCAAGGAAAAAGTCGAAGGAAAATGTCAACACAAAGTTTGATTGGATTAGCAAAATGAATGCTTAAATTTGCGAGAAAAGATGATGAATAGAAGGGTTAATACAAATCATTCTGATATTAGATGAACAAATGCAACAAGAAAAAGATCGAAATTTTCTCATCATTTTCCTTCTTTTTTCTCATTCCTTCAAGTAAATACATTGAACCTCTATCAATGGTGAAATAAAGATTAGTTGAATCGATGAATGAATGGAATAATGAAGGAAAATAATTTTCCAATTATATTAAAATTCAGTGCAATCACTCGAGTACAAGTTGAATACTCATTATCCTTTAAAGTATGCAATTCAGAAATAAAAGTGTTTCATTTTTTTCTCATTTTCCTGTTTCTTTCAAAGTCATGAACAAAGATAAAAGTCTGAATTTGTAATGAGAAAAGGTTGTAACGATGAATGAAAATGAAATTAAACTTGATTTACAAAATGGAACAAAACAAACAATCGAATCAATAATTCTCTGATCCAACTCCAAACATTGCACAAAGCGAACGAATCAAATTTTCGTTAAGTTTATGACGAGCTTAAGTTTTACAACCAAAAACAATTCTAATTCTGATTCTGTTTCATTGCACTAAAATCATTGGTAATGCAACGAAATGGTCAAGAGGAAACTTGGAAATACTTTGGACGAAAAGTCCTGGTAAAGTTGGACAAGGAAAGAAAAGGGAAAATGTTTGAAACGAGTTTGAACGAACCTCTTTCCCAGAAAATGGTTTCAATTGGATAACCACCAATGGGACAGTTGATTATAAGCGATTCCTCGGCAACTCCTGAAATGTTTTTCATTGGCCTTATGAATGGTGGTCCCAATATATTAATGCGTCTCGAATGGCGAACTGTATCTACATCATTAGATGCTGTGCATTCATAAAGTCCTCCATCTGTGGAATGAAATGAATAGAAAGTTATTAATCAAAGATTGTTGCATTCATTTGGTTAACCATTGAACTCATTCTTTCCCTTCAAACCCAACTCGAAATGCTATATTAAATACTAATAATGTTTCCAAATGAAATGAGCAAAAACACTGAAAAAAGGTCAAATTTTTCCATTCAAGAAATGATAATGAAGCAAAATTGTATAACGATATAAGTGATGGCAAGAAGAAAGGACGAAAAAATGAAAAGAAAAAAGTTGTTCGAGAAACTGGTTGACAGTGATTTATATCGTCATGCATTTTATTAAAGCAACATTATAAATGATCAACAGTCAACCTGATTTGTTGCTTATTATAACATTAAAAAGTTATTACAATTTTTCAATGTTGACCTTTTGTTTCCCAAGACTATTCACATTGCAATGGAAACCAATTTTCATTAACAATTTGCTCAAATTGCACATTCATTGTTAACCAAAAATCATTCAACATCAACAACCAAAAGAAGTTCAAGTTTTTTTTGTATTACAATTCCTTGAGAATCTAAAGGAAGAGAAGAAAAGAAAACTCGAGAAAAAAGTTGAACATGAACCAGAATAAGGCCAATAAGCAAGCTAGATGAATGGATCATTAATTCCCATCATCCAGTTTCCATGTAAAAACTCATCTTTACCATTTTCTTCAAGATTATCATTACTCTTGGAACCCTTTCCCTGTCCTATTCAAACGTCAATCCTGGTAACCAAAGTTAACAATTTTTCCTTCTTCATTTCACTCTCATTAGCACCATTTGCCTTTTGCTGAAAACTTTACTTCAATTGATTCCAGCATTTATGCATTTCCTTATTAACTCAACAATTGTCCATCAATTGTCTTTAAATTGTTTCATCAATTTTCCCTTCAATTGTCGCTCATCAAGTTTATTAATTTATTATCACCATTGAGACTTGAATGGCCAGTCAATTAAAGAATCGGAAGGAAACAATTTATTTTTTCCTTTGCTTTTTTGTCTCTTTTCAAAGTCATTTTTTGCGAGGAAAAAAAAGTTATATTTATTCACTCATTTTACATCATTAACGTGGTTTATTGAAAAAAATGTTGACATGGAAAGGAAGAGAAACTGGAAAATTGTATTCTTTGTAATTTCATTTGCTAATAAACATTAATTTTTGTCTCTTTGCTCTTCTTTTCCGTCTCTTTACTTTCATTTTTTTGAGCAATTTGATGAGTATTTCGAGGCTTTTGCTTGCTTCATTGGATTCATGGTTCTTTCCTTGTGATAACATGGAGTGCAAATTGAGCAACTTGCTGTTTAACCATAAATTTGTATCAAATTACCATTCTTATCAGTCCATCAAAAACGGTTTCCACTTCACATGTCATCATTATCATTTCATCCAATAACATGGTGAACATGAAAACAATACCATATTATGTACATTATAGACAGATGTAATGGCATTACAAGTTGTCTAAGCCATTAGTTCAAATGATCAACTGAAGAGATCAAAAAAGCTCAATCGATTAAATCTGAATGTTGAACAATTGAGATTCAACTATGCATTACAGTTTGTGGGGATTGTAAACCGTTTAGCGAATCACTTTCTAAATGTTTAAATTGAAATTTAGTTTTCAATCGGAAGGAATCAATGAAACAAAAAACAATCCAATTTTGTTTTATTGAGTTATTGAAGTAAAACTGTAAAGTAATTGATATCTAATCCAATTGAATTCAAGTTTAACAACAGAATTCATAATAAACTCAGTAAAATTATAAAAGTAAACAAATCTAAACATTAGTCAAATAATCTAGCGCTTTCATACCTTTAGAGAGCTAATCGAGTCTGCAATGCGATAGACTTTCAGCCTCAGTTATTAAACTCTTGATACAAACAAATGTGGAAATCTTTCTCGATAAACACTTTGAACCAACTTCATAAACATTTTGATCAAACAATCCAATGCACTAAACGCTGTTTTGAGACTATTATTGTCTTTAATTTACTTTGCTAATCATTGAAGTGTCTTTGTAAGGCTTTTAGATGATTTTTGACGCAAAGAGAGTTTCTTTAAACATTATTAAGAAACGATTCCGCTGGAAATAGCGAACAGAACCTCTTAAGCTGAATGTCTCTTAGCTTCTGCCGTCAGGAGATCAAGCAAAAAGAATAACAAATGATCGAATACGTTTTGCTTGTCGATTGAAGTGCAAGTTCTTGGAGAAAATCGACTGTTCTGTTGATAATTACTGAATAGGTTTGACTTTCAACTGGCAGATTGTTTCAATGGTTAACCAAAGATGTAAAATGGTTAAAGACTTACCTTGAGCCAAAACAGAAGTAATATTAACATAACTAACAAGGCGTCCATCTTTAGTCACATAATCTCCTATTCTGTACCTCGAGATATCAAGAACAGGATATCCATCGAGTAACCATGTCACTTGAGGAAGTGGATTACCATAAGCTACACAGTTAAGCGATAGAGAAGCTCCTTCTTCAAGAACGGCTTCATCAAAAGTACGTAAAAATGTTGGTGGATATCCTGGAAAAGAAAGACAATTGGAGTTTAATGCAAAGTCCAACCCAAAAATATATCCAATAAAGAACCACAAATCGACCCAAAATCAATTGACAATCGTCTGAGAAACATTTCCAAGGATCGAAACATAATCTAAATTCATTATTTAATGCTATTCATAAAAGGATATTTATGTTTGGTCTAAACGTTTATGAGTTAGAAATGAATTGCTATTGAAAAGCCATTGTCGTTGTTGAGCATTGAAATATCAAAATGAAATGTTGAATAATGGTTAACATTGATTGATCCAATTAACCCATCATGGTTTAGTGTTTGAAGATGAATCAATTGAATGAGGATAAAAGTTGATGAGAGTGAAAATGAGTATGGCAATGAGTTTAATGAATGCGGAGGGAAGAAGCAAAGTGAAACAAAAAGCTTTGCTCTTTTCACTCATTAAAAGGTCTATCCAAATGTGTGGACCATTTTCATGGTTCAATACCTTTTCAGTTGAACAGATAACATTTAAATTAGTTACGCATTGGTTGATATTTAAATATCGTCTAGTTAATCATTTACCTTCATCTTATTCATTTCCTAAGCATCATCTTTGCTTTAAACTGCATTCTGTTTACCCTTATTTTGCTTAAATTGTTCAAATCTTTTCCTCTATTCATCATGAAATGTTTAATTTACGAAAAAGAGGAACAAATATTTTCCCATAACTTGTCAAATTGTCTTGTTAAGGACTGAAAAATGAATGCAATTGCGAGTTATTTTTTAATTACAATTGTCAGGATAATAGTTTTGCTTCAATGTGAATCGCAATTTTCCCTTTCATTAAACAAACATCAATCAATTTTAATGGACACGAATTTGAAAATAACTCAAATGCAAACATAACAAGGATGAATAATCTGATTAGTTGAACGACTTTTCCATGCAATTTACATTCAAAGCATTTCAGTTGCAATATTGAACTGATTCTACATCAAATAAATATCGTTAAAATTGAATTCTAGTTGATAGAAGCTGCTTAAATACATGATTTGGTCCTTCGATTGACTTTTCATTAAGCCTGGAAACTCGAAAAACAATGTTATTAGGATTGCATTGAAATAGCAAATTGAGTTATTTGAAGAGAACCGAAACTTTGTGTTTTGCATCTACAAAGTTTATTTGAAATTTGAATAAGATTTGAGGCTTTGCAACTTAAGAAGTGTTTCAGATTCATTTTTATGTGTCTAGAAAACTTTGAAACTTTGGTAATGAAATCTGTTCGACTTTAACTAATGCTAAAGTAAAGTGAAAACATTCACTTTTGTTCAATTTACTATTGACCAGCCTTGTACAAGTAATTGTTTGATTGTAGTTTCTCATCGAATGCTGGTCTAAAGATGGATTGGGAAGGTCAAGCATGAGAGCTGAAAGTGATATGCTTATTGAAACAATTAGAGGATAAAGAGAGTGTTCAATGTCTGAAACTTGAAAGTTACGAGAAGTTTAATTAGCTTTAAAAGTTGGCAAATGAAGGGAGTTGAGGAAAGATGATGAAGATGGAAAGTAAAGGGACGAATGAAAAGATTAAGATGGAAAAGAGGAAAGAAAGAAAAGTATTGAAGCAATTAGAGAAAAGTTGGGTTACGAGAAAAAAAGGGATTCTATTAATGGGCTGAGGTTAGGGTTGAATTTAATTAGAATCATTTTACTTGAAATGACAGGGAATGAAGATGGGGAAATAAGGAGACGATGATGATGATGCTAGGGATGCTTTGGATGGCATGAAAAGGGTTTGCAAGAAAAAGTTTGTTCACTTTTTTCGCTTCTTCTTCTTGTTGGAGATGATGATGTTGAGGAAAGTTTCATTTTTCTGATGATAAATGGTTTTTGAGGTGAAATGTAATTTATCTTATAAATGGGAATAAACCATTCAATCTGAATTCTTCATCGAGTTTTTAGTTGTGATCAAAGATCAATGGACATTTTATCATATAATGATAATAATAAGTGGCCCAAATGCACTGAAAGTTGACCTTAAGTTTCTCTCGCTTTTCATGTTCTCTTGCATTCAATACAAAAGTATTCAACAAATCCCTTTGTCAACTCTATTCCAGTTATCAAAAGTAATAATAAGGCTGAAAAGGAAGAGAGAAAGCAAAACGAGTTGAAAGAAAACGTTAAATAAAAATGACTATAAAAGACGATAATTGATTAGTTCATGGGATAATCAATCAAATAGCTTTTAATTACAACAACAGCAAAAGACAGCATTCGAGTGAAAATTTATACTCGTTGAGATGAAACTCAAGTAATAATAATTTTCAGTCAAAATCTTTCACAAAATGCAAGTTTAAGTTTCGATTGATACAAAAGCTTTTGATCTTTACAAATGAAATGGAAACTGAGAAAAGACAATTTCACACTCAGCTTCAGGTTGAGAACAAGATTGAAATTCATTTTGTTAAAAAAATAGTTTGGATAATCAGAATCTCTAAGAATTCGAGATTTTCGATGAAATGAAAAGTGAAAAACGGTGAAATGATCATGAAAGTTTCTTGTGTTTTCTCTCTCTCATTAACTCGATGAACCAAACGTGCATTTCATTACTAAAAGCAAGTTGAGCGAGAATGAATCTTGAAATTTTTTGCATAAAACTACTGCAACTATTGCAATTACAATTGATAATTACTTTGAGATTCCAATGAATACTTTTCAAGTTTTCTTGCAAATATATAATACTCGAAGTTGAAAATTCTGATGATAACTTGGTTTTTTTTTCTCTTCACCTCCTCTGCATCTACTCTTTTCCTTTACTCTTCAATTTGCTTCTTTTCCTCTGTAACCTTACAGCTCAAAAGAGCAGATAAGACATGGAATGAAGAACAAGCTGTTGGAATCACTCATGAGGATAAGATCGATTTCTTTTCTCTTTCCCATTCCATCCTTTATCATCATCATTTTCACCTTCAACTCGTTATTCCCTTACAATCAAGCCTGACGTCTGTTTAATTAGAAACCAATGGTTTGGCTGATTATTTAACCTACCAAAACAAAAGTCTTAATGGTTCAAACTTTTTTTTGCACCAAACAGTTGAACTCGAAAAAGTTGAACTCTCGTGAGAAATGCACAAACCTTAAATACAAAATAAAAGCTTAAACATTGATCATTGCAAAATAAAAGCACCTAATCAATGAGAATAAAAAACTAGCAATCAAACTCGAAAAGCACCAAAATGAACCAAACAAAAGTTGAAATGAAATTTCCATTTACAGAGATTCGAAATGAAAAGCACAAAGCGCTTCAAGAATTTGCCAGAAAATTTCAAAGAAAAAGTTATGAAGGAATTTTCATGAAACAAGAAAAAAAACAAATGCAATAATGAACATGGAAAAGGAATGAAAAAAGTTGATTCGATTTTGAAAAGTGTCACAAAAAAGCAAATGTTTTTACCCATTTGCTGCTTTTGTCACATTTTTTCCACTCTTCTGTTTTCATCTTTTGCTGTAAATAAATTTTCATTGAAATAATATCATATTAATATAATAATGTTATTACAAGTTGAAATGGTAGTGAAAAGTGTCGCTCAAAGGGATGTCCGGTTAGTCAATTTTTGCTTCTGTAACATTATGCTTGGAAGATTATGGAAAATCCTTTTTCATGTTCTTTTCTCATGCAATATTCTTGTTTAACTTTTTTCTCCTCTCTTTCTATTTATATTCAACAACAATTGACAACATTATCATTTGTAATCAAACATCATTTTCCTAGCATCATCTGGTCCATCGCTCATCATTTCAATGGAAACTGTTCAACCTTTTTTTGCTCAACAACAATTGCCTTTAATTGCTTTTGATTAGCAATTACAATTTTTTAATGCAATGGCAAAGACGAACAGAAAATTTTCGTTTCTCCTTCGAATTCAAAGTTGATAGAAATTCGTATTTCTTGTTTCTTGCTCTTGCATTCCCTTGCAATTACTCTAATAGTTTCCATGGTTATAAGAAGCAAACATCTGAAACATTGTTCAGAACTTTTTCCTTTTCTTTTTTATGTCTATTCACTTTTAGCTGGCTTCATGTCACTGACAATTTGCTCAGTGTTTCTCTGTGTATTAGGTTATCGTAAGTGAAATTAGTTGCAGAATATCTGATATTTTTACTTTCTCTCCTCTCTTTTCTTGTTCTTCATCTGTTTTTCTGTTTTCATTCAGCTTCTTGTTTATCTCATTGGGAATGAAGGCTGGAAGAAAAAGGAAAAAGGAAAAACAGAGAATCTGATTTGTTTCATTCTTGGGCGTCAATTTGCCTCTCATCTGTTACTAAATGGATTGGATATTTTATCTCAATTTTTTGCTTCCTCGTTGTTTCCCTCTAATCATCATTCCCTGTAACATTTCACCTTGGCAGACTCACGCATTTATCAATCTTTACATTTGTAAGCACTCAACTGGCAAACATTAAACATACCAACAACATCAATTGAAACTTTACTCTTCCCTTTGCCCTTTCCTTTCATTTTAATGCTCATTTCTTTCTAATTATTTTCATCAACATTGACAGCTTCAATTACAATGCAACATCAATTGTAATGAAAACTCTCAACACGAATGGAAATATTTTGCATTTTCTCAAATTCGTCAACGAATATTGAATGTCAGTTGATGAATTTTCGAGCTTCAATTTCATTACTTATTAGTCGAGTATGAAAATGAAAGTGAAAGCAAAATGTACAAATGGTAACATCCTTGACTTTGTTGAGTCTTAAGCAGTGAATAGAAAATGAAGAAAAGGAAAAGTTCTGAAAAGGTAAAGAATAATTTTCTTGTTCTTTACAGAATAAAGTGAAAAGAAAGTCAAGATTCTTTTAAGTATTGAAACTATTTTGATTCTCCTTTTTCCCTCTTTATTCACCTTTCGATTCAACTTTTATCGTCACATTAACTGGAAAGAGAAGGATGGAAAGTGAGAAAAAAAAGTAAAGCCGATTGATAGTTTTTCACTCCCAGTTCATTCCCTGTTCATTC